GCATTCAGAAGAAACATTTTCCACTTTTGATTACCCTATATAAATCTAAATTTTAGTCAAAACATCAGTTTAACAACTGGGTTGAATTTTCCAGGGTCCTAAACTCTTACTTAAAAAAGCATCAATCCTCATCTCTGAATAGAGTAGCAACAGGCAAGAGATTTGTCCATCCTGAGAGAACCTAAATAAAGTACTGACCTCTAATCTCTTCACCATGGTGCCATTTCTGGCTTTTTTGAATACCTGAGCAGGGAAATGACAATAGCGGTGGCCAAAGGCCCTGAGTTGACATTGGTGTTCTTCCCTCTCCTCGACTTATCCAGAGGTCATATCTAAATCCATCATTTTGACCCCAAAACCTGGCCTCAATTCATACATGGGATCAACTTATACATGCAGTCCCCAAGTTATTTGTGCTTTAGTTGAATTTGTTTGTTAAGTTGGAACAGGTACATTTTTAGGTGTAACACCAGCCTTATGTATATGTAAGCTTTGGATAGACTAGGGAAGCGTTAACACCTGTGGGCTTTGTTTTGCTTTCTGTGCTCCTGTTCAGAAGATTTCACCTTACTTGTGATTATTGGATTTTGAAAAAGGTGGCTTGCTGTAGAAACAATGATGGTAAGAAAGCTTCAGTGGAAACATTTTCCTCCCATGATAACTCTTTCTGGAGTGAATTTCCCTTCATAGGGATAGACTTTTCTCACTTCCTCTTGTCACCCCAGTTCTTTACTAAGTCAGGTGTTTATAACTCAGGGACTGGCTGTATATACAGTAATAAGCTAGTAGTAATGGCTAAAATAAGCAAATAGTTTTGAAAACACAAACCTGTCACTGTTCAGTGCAAACCTTACAATCTATTAACTCCAATAAAGAAAATGTATTCCAATTTTACATTCAAATTGTCAACAGTTTCACTCCACCCTCTGTTAACACCACAACTAAGGTTGCAATCCTAGACACACTTTCCCGGTTGTAGTTTTCATCGAACTCAGTGGGATCAGCCTGAGTACATATGTATATGATCATCTTTTGAGCACAAAAATACCCCCAAGCCAGGGGGAATAGAGCCCTTCAGGTGTTTTAGACATATTCAGGAAGATTTTGCTCTTTACAGTTGAGTTTATCTAGTTAAGATAAAGCACTGAAAATTGATCATTGGAATAAAAGAATTTATTCCATTATTATAATAAAAAGGCATTTAAGTAGAACAATAAGCCATAAGTACTTCAAGATATGCAAATGTAAAGAAATGAGGATACTGGTGTACAAAATTTTGCCCAATTATGTTATAATTTTAACTAGCACGGTCATTGGGGGAAGTATTTATACAATAGTTCTAGTCAAAAACTATTAATCCCCAAACTATACACAATACATGCATTTGAAGAACATTAAGAACAAGTGCAATTTATAAAATACTGTTAAAAGTCCAGTTTCTCCTGTGAAATGAACACATCCAGTTAAGGTCAACTCCCAAAGTGATGATAAAATGAAATCATGGACAAAATTGCAACATAGCATATCCTTTGGAGAGAAAATGTTCCTGTACAGCTACATTTTTCCTGCCTAGCACTTACAATCTTTTGCAATCTGTGTTAAGATGTCCTTCTTTCTTTGGAGAAGTTCTTACAGACCATGGATGGTGTCTGTCACATTTCAAAAATTGCATTCAAAAGTCTTCAAAACAAACCCACAATATAAGTAGAATCATTCACTTGCATGAATACGGGCACACTGAACATGGGACTACATGGTGATGTGGCCACTAGGTGACCCACATATAATACTAGTTAAAAAGGAACAATGACTTAGGAGACAGAAGAAAATACTGTTTTTTTTAATATATGACCTAGTAATTACCTTCAGTCATGCATTCATGATCTATATGCAGTGTTTGGGGTCATTGAATGAAGGAGGCAAAATTGAAAAAAAAAATCCTCTGGTCCACACCAGTGGAGACAGCGCTCTGGATTTGGATCTATTCACTTTGGTGAAGATTGCAGAAAGCAATCTCTGAATCAACATAAGGCTACACGAAGAAAAGAAGGTATATATTTAATGCAGATTCAGAAGTACGAATGTCTGTTGAAAGGACCATTATTTACAAAAGCCAGTATATGAATGCCCATAATAGAGTAGCTAGCCATATGCAACACATTTCATTATGTCATTGTGATGATGGGATGAAATCTGAAAGATGCAAGTGGATTGCATGATTATATTTAAACTAAGGCAAGGCTTTGGTGGGTTATTTTGTCACCCCAAGAGCACACCATTATTTTTTGTGATAGTACTGTTCAAGTACCTGGCATGGAAAGGTACTTTTGGGAATAAAAGTTTCAAGAAGAGCAGCACATCATTATAATTTAATTGGGTATATTTTATTACTTTTCAGGTGTGTTAACAATTTGGATGTTCTGTCATTTCAGTCTTTTGTGAGAAATGCAAAACAAATGGGAAGGGTCTGTGAGTAAAGATCATTTGCATCTTACAACCAAAGGCTGGAAGACCCTAGCAATCTCTTACTATGCAGCCCTTCTTCCCACAATTTTAACTTGTTTTTTTTCAAATCTTATAGTCATTTCTGAATTATTATTCTTGAGGTTTAAAAAGTCTGCTTGTTGTTTAAACCTTGAGATGGAACCCCTCCCCCTCAAATGATGAAATAACTAAGATAAATTTGTGCACATACTTTGACAAAACTCCAACTAGTTCTGAAAATTGACTCTGCTCATAAGTTTACCCTTCTGAACTGTACCAGTTAACTTCTAAGAAAGGCAAGTTTTAAAAATAATGAAAAAACACCGCAATTCATATATGTCCTAACAAAAAAGTCCTCCAAAACCTCCAACACAACTCCCTTTGAATTAAATGAATTTGTAATATTCCCAGTAATGACAACACTGACTCAGTACAACTTTTTAGAGAAACATACTCCTAAAAACACCAAGGAGAAACAATTCTTTTTTGTTTGTTTGTCCATTTAGGATATTCACTGTTGGCAAAGATACAAGATCTTTTGGTTTTGTTATGTCTTCTCTTGCTCTGTTAAGAGGCACTCATGTCTTGACTCACTTCTGTAAGGCATAGCAGAAAATAACCATCTATCAAGCAAAAAATGAATCACAAAGTAAGGAGAAGAGTATTATTTTTCTTTAAGAAAAAAAGGCTTGTGGTGCACTGATACATGGCAATGTTGTGCCGGCAATTCAAAGGATGCTTGGGTTGGCCCATCCAAGTAGCTCTATTCAAACACAAATCTTGATCCAATGGCCTACATTCCTCTCATGTGTCTACCTTTCCTAGAATACTCCAGTGGTATGGAACATTTCTGTAGTACAAGTAGAAAACATAAATGAACTTTTGAGTCCTTGCTAATGAGTTTTAAAATCTTATAATATCCTCCTCAAAGCTATAGTAAATAAAGACTGCCTGTTCCTAATCATTTTTAGGCCTTTGTTCTCTTTTCAAAGAGAAATAATATTCTTAAACTGAGGAGGAGAGTTAATAATCCATTTAAAGAGTCATTATCAAGCAACCTGAATTTAGTAGGTAGTAAAACCCAGGACTAAACCAAAGTCACCACAACTTTAATTCTAAGAGCCACAATATAGTACACATGGCTTCAAACGTATCTCAAGGCAGCTTAAGACAGCCATTCCAAATAGACGTAATCAGAGATTTGTAATGAGACATTTTCATTGTGTCCAATAAGCAAGCCTGTCTAGGAAGAATATCACGGAGTTGTAGAGTGGGTTTGTCACCTCCCGTACTATTTGGAGATTTAGGCTTAAATTCAAGTGTTAGTCCCAGCTAGAACAGCCACACTGAATCAGCTGAAGTTATGTACTGTATATGCTCATGTGTGGAAATTTTAGTCCAAATTGACCAAATAAACCTGGGTGACTTATTCATATCACAATGTAAGTACTTTACTCATTTATCCCCTTATTTGAGTAGAGTGGAGAATGCAAGAGCTTAGATGGTTATATGAAAATAGCAGTTGCATAAACAAAAATATAAGTGTATATCAAAATCAGGACACCTTTCATAAAGTAAAGTTTAAGTTCCCTTTCATCTTACATTGTCCATTTTAGCATAACTTCTGACAGTCTATGGCATACATTTTATGCTAGCAGTGCAACATAAAATATCTCAACACTCTTGTATCGGAGACAGTGTTGTAATATTTAAAGGAAGGAACAACCTGTCAAATATTACTGGGTTGGACCTGGCAAATTTAATTTTGGAGTATGTCACAGTTAAAGAAAGTGCAATGTCTACACAATAAATGCCATTGCATAATGGAAACCTTGCATAATGTTGTGACCAATCTCAACAAGGACCCTCCAATAATGAACAACTTTTGAATCTTAACTTTCCATCATGTATACACATATTTATAAGTTATGTGACAGAATTAGTGGTGTGTTCATTTTATCATAAATTTAAATAAAACCCATGTAGTTAAAATTTGGCAAGAGAGAAATGGCAAAAGGTGGATCCATTTCCAATCCAAGGCATACTACCTCCCACCGTCTCCAATCACATTGTTTTATCTATGTGGCTTCCTACTGTAATTTAGGTCTGTGCACATACTGCATGTATTTATTTAGGTGACTTCAACTCACCTATCAAATTATGGCAACCCCATGAATTTTATAGGGTTTCCTCAGGCAACATACGCTCAAGAGATGGCTTAGCCAGTTCCTTCCTCTGAAATATAGCCTACAATACCTGGTATTGCTTGGCAACCTCTCAGCAAAGGACTAACCAGGAAAGACCTTCCTTATCTTCCAAGATCAGATAGAATCTGTTGCCTTAGGGTATTCTGGTTGAGAAACATTCCTCCTTACCACACTTAAATAGGCATGGCTTAAAAAAATAAGATGTATGACAGTTACATAGTTTCTGACAATCCAGAAATGTACTGAACTCATTCTCAAGATCTAGGACCACACAGAACACAAGTATTAAGGCAACAGCAGAGAATCATCTGGTGGTAAAAACATCATAATAGTTTATGAAAGAAACAGAGTGGGTACCCTAGCCCTTCTTTTCATCAGCCAAAATAATAAAAGCAACCCAGCAGTTTACAACAAAGCTGTGTCCTCCCTCTGAAGTTGAACTGAAAAGTCAGTTCAAGCTCAGAACGTTTATTTTCAGTCCACTTTTCATTAGGGTTTGTGCGTGTGTGTGTCTGTGTGTATGAAGGTGCATTTTCAGCCCATTACTAATTCAGGGTTGTTCCAATGATTTTACACAGCATGATACCAGTACTGCTCTGCATTATAATAACTGTTTTTGTAAATAAAACAAAATTAAAAACCTAGTCAGAAAAAAGACCAAAAAAATTACATTCTCTCTTGAAAAAGTAAATAAAATAACATTATTTAAAATGTGAATTATCTATAAGACATACATTACAATTACATAGATACATATTGATACAGCACATTCAATCTGCCAAAAAAGTTAATGATTACAAAGCCAGTATGGATGCTGCCATATATATATATATATAATATTTATATATATATATAGATGTATGTACAATGACTATAGCATTCATAATTGCACTATACCTACAACCATTTTAAAATTACAAGATGTCTCGTGATGAGCAAAGGAGAAAAAAAGCAGTCCAACTCTTCATTATTAATGGAGAATATTAAGGGTGAGGGGCACCTCATTAGTAGATCATTAGTAGATGCTCAGTCGGCTGTACCCACTATTAAACTTTGGTGACAAATTTAATAAGTCATTCTCATTATCCCACCTTTACCAAAAATTGCCATAGAGCAATGTTTTGAATTTAAGTGCTGGAACCGTGGAAATCAGAAAAAAAATTGCCCAATGTTGTGCCTGACCCTTCCGACCCACATATATAAGTCTGCAATTCAATGTCAATCGTATTTACAACAAAACCTGAAAAATTATCTCAACCCCAGATGCAAAAAAGAGATGCTCATCAAGGCCTGTGCAGTGTTTTTCGAGAAGTTTATTGTTAAAATGTTGTATATTTAACAGTGCAATCCTATGCATGTCTACTCAGAAGGAATTCTGACTGAGATCAATAGAACTTGCTCCCAGGTAAATGTGCATAGGACTGCAGCTTTCGCCTTCCAATATGGTTTGTTCAGCCATTTCATAAATAATATAAGCTCTCAAGAAATTGTCTTATTTAGAAATCTCCCAATCCATTGATTAGGGAATCACATTAGGTGTATGTTATTTCAATTTTTTTCAGTACAAGGTGCCTTAAGAAAGGGGAGCCATCCCACTGTGCAATCCTATGCCATCTTGAATCAATAGACTGTATGAATGTGTGTATATATAGCACCAAATAACATTTTCACTCACACGGCTGTTACTTTTGTTTTGGAGAAAGGTGGCACTGAAAATGAGGGAACTGAAATCTGCTTGCTGAAACATTTGGCAGTCATCGGAAACAAATTCTCAATCAATCCTCTTGGCATTTAAAATCGGTTATCTTGCACTTCAAAGTGAATGCTTTCATAAAAGAAAAGCCCCATTTGGCAACATGAAACTTTGCAGACAATAAAATAGGTCTGAAATTGCAGTGAGAAAACTAGCCAGTCTGATTAATAAAAATGATAATACTAATACTAATAATAATTCCAGGCTATTGTAGTGTCCATGACATCTGTTTGGCATCTGTGATTACGGGAACAAAAAAATGAAAATGAAAAAGAGAATACAAGAAGAGAGAAAAAAATGTAATGGCACATGGCTACTGAAAAAAACAAAACCTCAAAAGCTATTCTACTTCTTGAATTGCCTTTATGTCTTAGTAGTTTGTTGCTGTGTTCTCGCAATCTGCGGAGCTTCCATGATACAATTAAAGGTAAAATCCATTTAACACTGCTACAATTAATATTCTCACTGAACAACACTCCCAGCCTTCAGTGCAAAGACAGTACCAAAAAGCAAATGTATTTTGACATCTCTGTCAAAATTTAAAAATAGAATTAGAGTATCAATATGTTTAATCCTTTAAAAAAAAGAGTAGTTACTGAAAAATCAGAACAATTGATGGCTTTAATTCTAAGTGACAATTTTTTTTCTGACCATAATACTATAGATGAAACCAAGGAACATAATGTGGGGGAAAAGGCCATTGTACCTTAAAAAAACCCATAAAAGAGACAGAGACAACAAGAGGAACAACTCGGTTCCAATAACTGAGAAAAAACAAAACAAAACAAACCCAAGCCTACTGTTTGTGAGTGCACAACTGAGGATTTAAAACACATTGAGTCACAAGGTTTTGACTAAAAAAATGAGGAAATGTGCTGTGAATGTAGTTCAGCATTGTTTCTTTTTCCTCCTGTAAAGTTTAAATAAAATCATAATATTTACTATAAACTCTGTGAACATTAACAGAGTCCAGGCCAGCAATAAATTAGTATTATGTGGATCATTTTCACAGATAATACAGTCCCTCTTGAATATCTTCAATTGCCCAAATTGGGGTACAGGTGGGTGGAAACCTAAGAGGCACAGTTAGACCAAGTTGTACTCCTTCAGGTTTAACTGTAGGATAGTGTCCTTGACAGCAGCAAAGACAAAACGGATATTCTCCGTATCTGTGGCACACGTGAAGTGGGAGTAGATGATTTTTTCACTCTCTGGATTCAGGTCAACAAACATCTTCAAGATGAATTCCCTTGCTGCCTGGGCATCTCGCTGAGGTCCTGTTACACCACGGAAAACAAAACAAAACAAAACAATTTCACTATTTTGAACAGATGCGATCTAAAATTTAGAGTATATTGCTCTCCATGTAAGACATATGAAAATTAATGGTGTTTAATAATAAAAAAACCAGTAACTATAGTAGTAGTACCAGCACAGCTCAGTTTCATAATCTATTAGATGTTCCTCATTGTTCAAATTCTATTCAAGAATCTAGGAATCAGTAAAATATTTTTAGATAATGTGGCATGATGTTCCAAGTAGTGCCGACATTTGTAACTGTGCTATTGTGATCCAATCAATTATTATTTTAATTGTTATTTCCTCTAATATTACTTTACACTGTTGTTGTATTGTACTACTACTTCTCTTATTTTTAGAAGTAGTAATATGTTAAAGTTAAACTATTTTTGTTACGTTTTTGTAAAAAAAAACCCAAACAAACCCTCAAACATTTATAAACCAAAATGCCTTCTACCTTGTCAAATTGAACAAATGTTGTTACACTAAAAACAATCCCAGTTCTTATTTTTTTCAAAACAACAACAACATTGTAATGTGTTATTAACCCTAAAAACAACATTACCTGAAAGCTCTAATCTCTTCTCATTTATACAACATGCATAAGCAAAGCTTCCAAACCAAGCCTACAATGTTCTTCAGACACACAAATTGTTATTGTGGGACTCCTCTATCCTCAACCTTATTCAGGTTAATGAAAAAAAAATGCAATGGGAATGTTTCAGCTATCGTATACCCAGGACCAAAGATTGGAGACCTCGGTACACTCTTTCTATACCAGGAACATCGTCCATTTCCACCAAGTATCTAGCTACAGGAGGGACACACTTGGAGCAGTGAGGGAGGAAGGGGACACCCACCTAGCCAGTCAGATCAAACGAATCAACCCTGGTGATCAATGGGGTGACAGATGTCAGAGACAGATCACCCTCACATCCATTGGGAATGTTTCAGGGGGTGTTTCCCTTGTTATGAAACCACTATCTAATATTAAAAACAAATTCATAACAATACAAAAGTATCATTTCACTGGAATCCTTGTTGTATAAGATGCATGCAAATACTTGGGCTGATAGACCTGAAATGTGTGTGTGTGTGTGTGTGTGTGTGTGTGTGTGAGTGAGTGAGAGAGAGAGAGTGAGAGAGACAGAGACAAAGACAAAGACAGAGAGAGAAGGACGAAAACTTAATGAAAGGATGTTTCTTACCATCATACTCAGGGAAATAATCAACTAGATGGGAATACATTATTTTTTCCTCTAGAAGATCTTTCTTATTTAAGAACAGAATGACTGAAGAATTCTGGAACCAGGGATATGTAATAATTGTCCTAAATAGTGCTTTGCTTTCCTCCATTCGATTCTGGAAGGGAAAAATGTATACAATTATTATAAATAATACATATATTACATAGCTGTAGTAAATGTTTCAGAGATGTAATCTGTAAATAAAATGTGTTATTCGCATGTATATTAGTTCTCTTATTTCTTAAGACTCAGTTCAGACAGTTAACTAGAAAGCAGCTGGGAACTGGCATGTTGATGCCAACTAAAGTTCCAAAATGGGCATGTTATGTAATTACATCAGCTGTATTTTTTTTAAGTCGACTCTCCATATATTCTGAATTTTCTTGCAAAGTTCTATCACCTGGTCCTCTATAAATCACCTGAGCTTTACCATATCATGAGAGGAATCCATGCCTCACAAGCTTATGGGTCCAGGCAGAGGCAGCCCTAGTTAATTTTCAACGGTAAGCAAACAGTATTTTGCCCCCCCCCCCCAATCAATCACTGATATATATTTTCTGTTCGTCGTGGGAGTTCTGTGTGCCATATTTGGTTCAATTCCATGATTGGTGGAGTTTAGAATGCTCTTTGATTGTAGGTGAACTATACATCCTAGTAACTACAACTCGCATATGTCAAGGTCTATTTTCCCCTAAGAGCGCCTCAAGAGCGCCCCTGGGCAAAATCAACTCTACTGTGAATGCTTACTTTGCGTAATGGGTTGAGCCGCCCCTGGGTCCAGGAGATCTCTTCATATTTTCATGGTGGCACAATAAAGACATGGCTTTTGTGAGTTCTTACCAAAGAATTAATGAAATGACAATTTTTGTTCCTTATTTTATATTTGAAACTCCAACATGAGTAATGAGAGAAAATATTTATGCTGCGATTTCTGACAGAAAGCATGCTACAAAACATACACCATGTTTTTGGAAACGAACAGGGGTGCAAATGAACCCCTGTTCGTTTCCAAAAACACCACACGTTTTGTAGTATGCTTTCTGCCAGAAATCTCAGCATAAATATTTTTTGCATCTAATTTCTTATGAAATAGACCAATTATCAAACTTTACATAAACTGTAAATACTTGTGACTTGAGTGAGAAGTGGAAAAAGTTTACATATGAATAGAAGCATACATCGTATTGTCGAAGGCTTTTAACAACCCAGAAACATACATCAATCAGCTTCCAATTCATGATACTAGTGTATCTCCCTACCACTTTCAGAGTGTCAAGACACAATTTTCCCTTTGCAATATTGAGTTTGACCCTTTTTATTACTGGAAACATCATCAATCTAGTGATGCTAGAAAATAGCTAAAAGTACCACACACCGGGTCATTGTCACCAGTGCTATTCTCAGAGGAGAGGTACATCTCCCACTGTTTATCCCATCTTGCCAGTTATAGACATAAATAATGAACAGGCATTGGCAGACTCACAGGTGAATTTCTCTAGTGATAAAGGATTGAAACTGCCAGACAATAAAGGTCCAAAGAAGGGCCAGCATAGCGTAATGGTGTGAGTGTTGGACTACGGCTCTGGAGACCAGTGTTTGGTTTCCACTTGCCCATGGAAAAGCTCTGGGTGACCTTTGGTTAGCTACACAATCTCAGTCTGAGAATACCTTGTGATAAGTTTGCCTAAGGGTAACCATAAGTCAGAAACAACCTGAAGATGCACAACAACAACAGCAGTTGTCCACAGAATACACAAATAGTAAAACAAAAAGAAGGAAAGTAGGTAGGCCTGGCTCACCAGCTATCTATTGCGTGTCCATAAACACATTAACCTGTACTATGATGTTTCATATGCCTGCATAATTATACATGGGGTTGAGGACAGGGAAAATTCTCTATGCCACACAATATTTTAACTTCCCACTGTTTTAATATACTGGCTCAGACAAAGAATGTGAAGATGAACCAGCCTTGCTATGTTACAACCTCCACTGAGAGTCCAAATAGGCAGGCAACTGTGTTGCTCTCAAACAATATCTAGTAGTTTTAATCTCTACCAAGAAGGGCTGTTTTGTGAGACACACCCAAATACTTTGGATAGCAACAAGTATTGCTCAAACAATACAACATTGCTGGGAAAACACACCATTCTTCTAGCTAATGCAGGGGTTACGATCAAATTCAAGAGGGAAAAGAAGTGTTCAAGCAGTTGGTGGTGGCAGCAGGTGATGAAAGAATTTCTGTAATCAGAAAACTTAGCACGATATCATTTGGCATGCACTTTTGTGCCTGTTGGTATACCTGTGTACACACATGCACACAAAACTTTTGAAGGCACCATCTGATCTCTTCAAACAATAAAACATGATTGAGAAACCCTCATTTACTAAAACCTTTTGCATCCAAAGATGTCAAACATGTCCAATGATCATACCGTAAGCCAGGTCAGCTCACTCATCCATTCCAGTCAAATTCCACAAAAGATCAACAGCTCTACAACACACAATGTACAATGTATCTGTGGTCAGCCCAGAGTCCTAAAATACCATTTAATTCCCATCCCTTCACTCCCATAGTGAGGCACAGTCCAGTGACAGATTCTGTGAAAAAGACAGGGTTCTTGCAGGTCAGCATGGCCAATTGTCCAAGAGATGTTGGATGTGAATGTAGAAGGTTTAAAAAATCCCAAAATAGTTTAGATATTTTCTATTTCTTGCATAATAATCACATCCCTCGCTCATGTGCAGGTGCACAGGTGGGTCAAGGAGTGAGATGTAGGAAGCATCCCTCAGCTGCCACCAGCTGAGACAAGCCAACTAGCTCTGTCCAGCAGGCACATGTGAATAACACTGCTATTCATTTTGAGCTGGTCTAGATGTCTGCTGACTGAACCTCAACTTTACTGAAAAATGAGAGATTTTGTTCACCAACCAAATCGAGATTTGAGTTTAACTAGACAGTAATTTTTTTAACACTGCTATACTGTATAAGCATTTACAATAAGAAATAGAAAGTACAGTAACAAATGAATAAACCTCCTACAAAACTTTTTAAAATAACTGCATTACATTGTGTTCAATAATTACATTGCCCATTCGGTTCTCAGAATCACATATTTTGGAACTTGTCCACAAAGTACAAGTCACGCCATTTGCCTGCCCTAATAATTATACAGACAAAGGATGTATTCAACAGACTCAAAAGTGTCTATTCCATGGGGTGTTCCCCCTTCATAAAATTTCTTCTGAAATGCTATGATTTTTGTCTTGATAAATAACAGCAATTCATGGGGAACGTGAGGACCAAGAACTTTTGGTTTTAAAAGAGTTATGGGAGGGGGGAGAGAAAGAAGAAAAGAAGTATCACTAAGATTGCTACAAACTAAAACTGGTTTCTCAGGAGCATGGAGAGAAAAGAAATTTGAACAATTTTGATTGGCATTAGCATACTACTTCTCTGCTTCACCTTAGCATAAATCATACATACATCCACATCAGTAATATTACAAGAATGAATATCCTACTTAAAGTATATTATACTGGAATGTAATATGAAATAAATTTTCTGTTTTCATATTTGACAGACAATTACTGAGAGATGGATCTCTCAGTAATTGTAGTTCACACATGCTATTGTTCCCAAGCCCAGCTTGTGTCCAATAGGTACATGGAGCTACAGGAAGATGAACAGTTGGGCTGTATTCACATTAAAGTAGGCACCTTAATGTTTTGCATGTGAACCAGTCCACATTAACACGGACTTCCTATGGAACACTGCAGTGACAATAATGGCTCGGAAACAAATTCTAGTCATCAAAACCAGAGAAATTATCTCTGCACTATACATATAAAACCACCAGTCTACATAGGTGGGTGCTAAGCCACATGTAATCATAGTAGGGAATGTGGGAAGTATGTGTGTCTGTGTACCTAACTGTGTATGTAATTGTGAAAGGCACACATACCCTTCTTTTCACATTACCTGCTATAGTCTCATTTAGTTTAGTGCTCCCTGTCTAAACTGGTGGTTCTCTGTGCATGCTGTATAGATACTCTGAGATTGCTGGTGGCAGTGCAGTGGTGGCTATGGTGGTCCCAATGTGCCCTTGGCCAAAGGACTCTGGGGACACTCCAGAGTTGTGTTGAAACAGCTTCAGAACACTTTAACACAGATTAATCTGATAAACGTAGGTGTGGCCTAAGTCTGTAGGTTGCTAGCAAAGGTAGATTTACAGTCTAGATCAGGCCTGCACAACTTGCAGCCCTCCAGCTGTTTTGGCCTCCAACTCCCAGAATATTGGCCATTGAGGGACTTCTGGGAGTTTGAAGCTAAATTAGCTGGAAAGCTGCAGATTGTGCAGACTTGGTCTAGACTCTGTCTATGGAAAGACACACGCTGAGACAAGGGTGACTGCTTTCCACTTCAACTGCCTTCAACTTGTGTTCAGACTTTCAGTGGCTCACTGCCTGAGTCCTCTAGTACAAGTTTTGGAAAACTTAATCAACACTTAAGAGTGCTACAGTAGCTGCTTTGTGTTAAAAAAGAAAAAAAAGGCAAGGTAGATATCCCTGTAATTTGTAAGATGCTTTCAAGTGTTCTGCAGAAGATTCACACTTAATTTTTTTATTTTAAAATTTGCACAGTTTAGTGATATTGTTTGTTTGACATTCAAAATGAAAATCAGGTTCTAATTGTACTTTTCATTTTAAAAAGTGTTGTTTGTAAGAATTCCAAGAATTCCCTTACTTTTTTACAAGACCAGCACATGTGGTAAAATTCTGTACAATATTCAAATAGTTTTTGTTTACTTTGCAAAGCTTATCCAACTTGACTGCCTTTTAAAAATATATGTACATTGTTAGTTTTCAATACTAAACTTCCTACATCATACACATTTTCTCAACTCCATCATTTTAATACACCTATATTGTTACTTCTGCTTCATACAGTTCTTTCCATGTTACTTCTGCTTCTGTCAGCAAATTTTCTGTTAAAGAAGTAATGTTTGGGAATGCATCTACTTTTTTTAAACTCAGGGATATTCATACAGTGAAAGTAGCAGCATCACTTCAGTTATTTCCAGGTCAGAAAACAGAGCATATTACTATCCAATA